CAAAAGACTATTGCGATGAAATCGGCTACCGATTTATGTTGGCACCAAACCAATGTTTGTTTTTTTATATCAGGCGACAGTGTTGAGACCCAATCACGTATAATTACGTGATCAGACCATACACGAGCGGCCTCCAGCGCCGCGGTCACCCATCCCATTGTTTCACCGAGCCCTGAATACTGGGAGGAACTCTCACGTACGTTTAGCTTATAGGACAATAATCACCTATATATCTTCAGCATTTATAGACTTTACTAGCTGTCGCCCGCGACTCCGTCCGTGTGGATATATAAAAAAACTTAATTAGTCTAGCCCACCCATCCATCCACATCACATCCATCTAAACATTTGCATTTATAATATTAGTAAGATAAATAAAAAGCAGCTCTTCAAGGCATTAATTCGAAAAAAATGAATAAATAGTATCCAATGTCTTCCTGACTCTAAGCTACCTCCTCACCAATTTTGAACCATATCGGTAAAGCCGTTCTTGAGTTATAAACAGTGTAAGTAACAGGACTTTCTTTTATATATATAGATTAATAAGTCCCTAAGTGATTTTCATTTTTTTTACAAGTTTATCTTTGATATATCAAAATGAAAATAAAACGAAAACATTTTCACATACAACTTGACCCGATCACTTACTACACGTATAAATTAAGAATCAAATTGCAACGTTCGCACGCTTATATCAACAAGTAATGGGAACTCTTTCAGCCTGAAGAACCGAAATAAAATAACTGAAGTCTAGATTATAAAATTCTATAATCTTACTAATATTAAAAACGCGAAAGTTTAGATGGATGTTTGTTTGAAGGTATCTCCGGAACGGCTTAAAGTGTCTCGATAAAATTTGGCACAGATGTAGAACATTGTCTGGAAGAAGACATAGGCTACATAGTTATTTTTAATTCCGTGCGAACGGAGTCGCAGGCGACAGCTAGTTGTATCATAAAAGTATTAGACGAAGTTACCTTTAGTCCCAGGCAGGCAAAACCTACTCATTATATCTTCACGATTAAAATTGGTAAAACCGTTTATGGTGAATTTGAACGTGGGTCGCGAAAGTCAGATCGACTCATACGATACTTTCGTACATGATGTGGTGTTACCAAATTTAGAAGCTTAAGGTACCCGGTATTGTAATTAGTCAGCACGACTCGTATGGGAAAGGAGGCGTGGGAGAGATCGCGTTAATCTTGATAGAGTTTTGAACAAAATATTGCCATCCCACTTATACGAATACAATCAGAAAGGAACAGGTGATTGTTGATTAACGTAATCTTTATAGCTTGATAATTTACAGTTACGCTGTTATATTTGTAGGTATTGTTTTTAATTTTAAATCGTTAATCTAAAACAGGAAATGATCATTTTATTTTACGAATTAGATACTGCTAATTACTTGCTTACGTAGAACATAGTCGACATTTAACTGTTAATATTAAAATAATCAAATTAAACAATAGCGATGTAATACATTTTAACGTTATCCACGTGGTAACATAACCGCGGATATAAAAGTTACTAAAATAGTGATGTTTCCTAATCAATTATCGATATAGATAATTAAAACAATGATTCAATAATTTAGGTATCATTAAATTATACGCAATTATTTAGTCACAAAGTATCAGTATACAAACTGAATCATTAATTTAGTATTCTACAAATATTGTATATTAGGTATAAAATCCGACATTGTGCCAGTGTATAGATGCAACACTAGCCTTATTAAAATATCATAGCTTATGTCCCCTAACTAATCGATCTGAAACTTGACTTGGTAACAAAAGCGCGCCATTCGCGTCAAAATGTTCTAATTAACAATATCTATAATTGCGTTTGACCCAAAAAAAAATAAGGAAAACTAGAAAACAATTGAATTTCCTGTACATAAGGATTGAGCTAGACTAATCCGCCCATGTCCCGTTACAGCGGTATGAGAAGGCGTGAAAAAAATGCATAGTAGCAATTTACCCCGATGTATCGCCACACAATTCTCTCAACAGTCGGCTGACTTCCGCACTCGCGAGTTCGGCGTCCGGGATCTAGAAGCAAAAAACACATAAGTGATGCAATATTCACAAAGTACCATAAACCCTAATAACAAAAATACAACAGTTCGCTTACACCAATTAGGTTAACATAAGCATCGCATACAGCATTTTACACTGTTCAGTCGTGTAACAGGTTCGGAAGAGACATGCATCGCCCCTGACCTTGGCTGACAACCTATGTGCCCTTAAATCCTCTCTCACCGGGTCGCCAATAGTCCCAACCTCATCCAATCCGTGCAATTCCCGGTATATGCAACGATTACGTCATCTACGATAAGGCGCCTATATTTTCGTCTTCGCACTAGTGATGGCCAATTAATATCGACATTCACATAATAATAAGAGTAAATATTGAAAACAAAAAAAACTGTAGCAGTATATACCGATTATAAATATATTTACTAATTGGAAATTTTGACAAAATTATAATTAAAAGAAGTATTCAACGACGAATACAAAACGAATGCAATCGATATTAAAAACGGATTTTACTATTACAATAAACCTAATCTAATGTGGCGGGCGAAGGAGAATACCGCGGGGTATAGTGGGTAGTCCGGCCCTAAATTCCATGGCCGGGTGTCCCACAGGACCGTCCCACGCAGTGCGAACCTAATCTATTGTTAAGTACCAATATTGACGAATAACATGTATCAGTACAAAAGTATAGTATTGCTATGAAAGGCATGAACGTACACGCACAACAATTTAACATCCAAGATTTGGATAGTGTTTAATTTAATTTTGTCATTATAATTTAATCAGTACTTTTAAAAGGAAAATTAGTTCAGAATGAGTAATATTAATTAATAAGAAGTAAAGGATAATATATCGATAGAATAATCAGGAGGTGACAACACGAAGCGAGGCAGCGCGCTCTCAGTCTGATTCGAAACAGCAGTGAACGCGCGCGTGTTTTAACACTTAAGGACGCATACTCGGAAACAATGGTGAGTGATGACAATTATTTTCACATTTAATATTTTTAATTTATTGTTTTTACATAAAACTAAAACACGTAGAGAAGAATTTTTTTTTCTAAATGTTTAATATAAATTTAAAAAAAATACTTTTCAATCTAAAATAAAAGTAAATCGAATTGTTGTATACAGTTGAAAATAATATACTATTTTTAAATTAGAACTATACGAATGACAGTTTTATAGCAACTTACGAAACGCAAAATTATTAGCGTTAACGTTTATAAATAGCTGAGAAAAACGATTCCACGAAAACATTGAAAAATGCGTTAATTTTGCACGCGACATAACAACGTATCTTGTAATATTTTTGTACTACATATCGTAACGTATAAGCCGTGATCTATTATGAGAAAATTATTTACTTCTATTTCATACGAAATAATTTCTTTCTCCATTTATCTATACTAATATTATAATGCGGAAGAGTTTGTTTAAACGCGCTAATCTTAGGAACTACTGATCCGATTTGAATTTTTTTTTTGTTGGATAGTCCATTTATAGAGGAAGGCTTTAGGCTGCGACCAATAGGATTGAAGCGTCAATGAAAAATGTTGCAAAAACGGGGAAAAATATTCACATTTGAGGACTTTCGTTACACAAACTAATTAAGTTTTTTTTATTTAAATTCCGCGCGGACGGAGCCGCGGGCGACAGCTAGTATTATAATATTAAATTATGAAGCAGATTTTTCTATCACCTGTTCTGTTCTCCTGAGTGTATCGGGTCTTTCAGGCATTCCTTATTACTAAAATTGCTTGAAGTTATACTGCTTCGGCATGAGGTCAAGGTCGTTGAATAAATGTCATGTCAACATGGGTCTATTACGCCAAAACATTGCAAAGTTGCGCCTATACGATAAACTGAGATATTAGAAAGCGAGAAAAGTTGCAATGGATAATAGTGTTAGGAAAAATTATACTTCTGCTTCCGATGTTCCCTTAATTATCAACATCAGTTCACTAAACATCCCCAGGTCTAAGTGTCTCGGAGCCAACCCTAAGTCAGGGGTGACTAGGCTATAGTCAAACACGCAGAACAATTGCGGGTTGGTTGATTTTCACACTTATCTTTGAATATCTTCTCAGATACGAGCAGGTTGCATCACGTTTTGCTTCACCGTGATAATGAGGCATACATCACTGTTCTGTTATTTGGCTCAAAAGTTAACAATAATTCGTAAATAATCCAACATACGTCACTTGTTTCCACCACCTGACTCATATGTTAATATTCCAAATATGAACATTCATAAACAAAATTAATTATTTTTTTTTTTATATACGACACGACAAATGTATGGGCAACTTTACTCGGTTATAAAAAAGGACTAAAGAGAATTTTGACAGCAGTTGTCTCGTCATTTAAGAAATTATCAAATAATAAAGAAAAATATCGAATACTTGCTTTATTTGCGCGATCAGTGATTTTATAAATATCATCGAACCTTGATAATATTATATAAAAATATATATAGTAAGTAAATATTTAACAAAATTCAGCATTTTTAAGCTTTCACGGCTGATACAGCGTAACCTATGTACTGTAAGGATAAAAATCCGAAAATGCCGGTGTACTAGCACAACACTAGCCTTACTAAAATGTCCACGTTTATGTCCCCTCACTAATCATTCTGACACTAGACTTTGTAATGTAAGCGCGCCATTCGACCCAAAGGATTGTAATTAATGCCTAAAAGTACAAATATAATAAAGTTCGAGTATTTATTTTAATATGCTACAATATATTAAAGACTGGAAACTTTATAGAGTTTGTATTAAACTTTAGGCAAACCTAAGAGATTAAGATTTGAATTACATTCATAGTAATTGGAAACTTCTGTCAACAATTAAGAACGTTTTTTTTTATATCATAAGGTGGCAAACGAACGAGCGGCCACCTGAAATCGCTGAAATAGCGAATTGACCGTTTGCCCATAGACATACGTAATTGCATATGCGTTGCCTACCTTTAATCAACGGAGGAGTGGATGCACAGAAAGAAAATATCTTACCTTTCCATGCATCCTCTTATCCGAAAAGTCCACTTTCACTTCCCATCCTTTCCTTATAAGAAAAAATGTGGAAAGGGAAAAAGAATAAATTATGCCTCCGGGACGCACACTCAAACGAAACGCGGAATTGCTTCCACTTGACGCCTGTCTTCTGTGTGGTCGTGGTATTTCACCAGGCGAGCCAATTCGTGCGAAGATGTTAAAGCGTGCTCTACCACTGTTATATATGTAATATAATTACGCCAACATCAAAGTAGTAAACAATAAGACATGCAATCAGTACATGCAGTCATAATTCTATTTTAGTTTAAAACAAACCTAAGGAAAACAAAACCATTCACTTCTGAGTAAAGCAATTCAGCCGCAGTTTGATATATTTGTGATCAGCTTCGCGATGCGGTTAGAAATCCGGATGTATCAAGTTTAAGCAGGAGAACTTTAAGTTATCTAACTTGATCTCAATATGCAATGATATGTGAATCGGAACCATCGGTGGCTCAGGGCTTAAACCCTTGACTTGTAATCTGCAGGTCCTGGGTTCAAATACCGCCATGTACCAATGTGTTTTTTTTTTATTTTACATACGTGCATTCCGACGTTCTTACGATAAAGGAAAACATGATGCTAATAGTTTATCCTCTATTTCGTTTATAAGCCATTATAATAAAACTATAGTAAAGTGTTCAAAATATGACATGTTTTCTGAGCCAAAGAATCTAACCTAGTTATATTTTTAATTTAACAGTTTATTCACTCAATTATAATTTTGAAAACGTATACTTAATTAATCTTGTCGACCTAGATTTTTTAACTCGTTCCATTTCTATCCAGAGATTTTTGAATATACCAATTGTGTTCAAGGAGTTTTTACATTTTAGCTGCCATTAAATCTAAGAAAAAAGAAGAAATTAAAACTTTTGAATTCAGTAATGTCAGATCAGTTTTCTCTTGTCTTTCTGTTATTCATGTTCTACAATATTAACACATTTTTCTGCAAACAAGGGTTTTTTTTATTTAAATGCCTGTACAAATTGACTCTATTATCCGTAATACAGTTTTCAGTTTGAGTATTGCCGTGACGGTAGTAAACATTAAGATATTTCTGTACTCGTTACGAACGCGTCTATTGTTTGTGTAAACTACTTATATATTAATCTGGAATCTATTCAAAGAAGATTGCCAATTACTATTTTTTTAGAAAGCCAATTTTATTTTCGACAATGTTACAATTGAAATTGAAGAAATTATTTTACATAGGATTCAAAATAAACATCTTTTCATAGATTTACTAAGACTCGTTTCTAATAAATTTAATAATTAATGACCATCATGAAAATTCATGCCAAAACGCAAATAACACGAAGATTTCTCACATAACATATTAGAAGAAACATTGACTATGACAGATGACACTCTGTTAAAGTCAGACAAATGAATACAGCTTTAAAAAAAAACTACCAATCCTTATACATGAAGACACCACAGTTAGGTAGAGCAGTATACAATGCAATAGTATTATTTGAACACACACCTACTATTCTTTCTCTGCGTAGAGTCTATAAATAAGAAGTCTTTAAACGCCAAAATGGTCAAGGATCCTTTGGGACCTGAAGAATACCATAACGGCAAATTGAGTAGAGTTCACATATCACAAGTCAAAGATGAAATGTATTTATAGGGGATTCATCAAAACCAACCAAAAAATATGGGTACTATTCTACCCTCGCGTGATATTTTCTGGTGCTGACCTCCACCCACTGTACCTAATAAACGTACAAACGTATTATAAAGCCGCATAAAAATATCTATTTCGACTCGTCGCGACTCGCAACTATTACTATTATAAATAAGTGTACACCTCACGTTTTCACACGGTCCGCACGTCTTATTGTTAGTCACACAATTTGTATGCACGGTGTAACAGGTGGCCGCTAAAATAGAACTCTTCATGTCGCTACAGTTATACGGTGTAAATAACGCAAAATAAAAGAAATTTCTAGACTCTAATATACGTATATCGAATAAAAACTTTCACTGAAGTGATTACTAACAGCTTTTATTAAAACATTTCATAAGCAAACCTGGAAATATTATTTAATAATAATATTATTTTTTTTATTTATTTAACAATACAATTTTGAATACAAATAAACATATGTTTAACGCTAAATAAACCTCATTGGTTTGGTATAAGCGTTAAGGTCTTCCGGACAAAAATATTTTGAGCTTGCACTTTATGTTTTTTCGTGAAATACATTTTATCAAATCTGAGGGTAGTTCGTTCACCAATCTAGGAACGATGTAACTTGCAGTGCGCTCACCGTATACATTTTTTGCGCCGACGGTACGAAACTGGTTTAGAGTTATCCATATAAAGCCATTTATTTCCTTACAGAAAAATCATACAATAAAATTTATAATGTAACTACTTTTTTTTTTAACTATCTGTAGGAACCCCTGTTCGGGTAAAGGCCTCCTCCAAAGATGCCCAATTTTCTCTATCTCGTGCCACGTGTGTCCAGGTAGTGCCGCCTACTTTCTTTATTTCATCATCCCATCGTGTAATCGGTCTTCCTATTCCTCTTCTTCCTTTCCTTCCTTGGAAATATTATTTAGTAAAGTATATTTATGCTTTATATAACGGTCCAACGTTTGAAAAGAATCATAACTTTATGAGATTATTCTGTGGGCCTCGCACGAATATTTATGACAAAATTTGTAATAAAATTTAGGCAGCGCCCGTTTCGTAAAGTACACCAAAATGTTGACATAATTGTCAATGACAATAACAAGGCGATTGTCACAAACCTTCATGCTAGGCCCACTATAAATAAGTACTAGAAGCTTTATACCTAATACACAAACTATATTCTAAACAAAATACAACAAACAATTAACTGTCAATCATGGCACGCTTTATGTGCAGTTCAAAACCAGTATTACTTTGTACAAAACC